ACTTCCAAGGTACGACTGTAGTGGATTTAGACCAGGAGTGGGTAACCTGGGGGCGGGGAGAGATGCTGCTGGGCCACAGCTCTCCTTGAAGTGTGGGTGGGTGGAAGAGACGTAATGCAGAACATCTGGCGAGGTGAGCCAGCCTGGCTTTAGGCCCTTCGAGGTCATACTAGGAAATGAAGCTGTAGGCTGCATTAAAAAGCCCTTAGTCTATTTAATCATTTGCGTCGTAGCCTATTGTGATTGATTTGCTTGCATATGAGTAAGAACAGTGTTTCTGAAACATGCAAAAAGAGAGAGGCTTCTGTTAAGATGAATGTGTGCTGTGACGTTCCTCATCTCAAAGACGTTCCTTCCAGCCTGTGAGAAAATGAAGCAAATAAAAATTAACTTAGTTTACTACAACTATTATTATTTTTAAATAGGAAGGGAGGCCTTTTCATTTGGATGTTAATCCCCACTTAACTCCCCGCGGAATCAACACTTACTGTTTCCAGGGAGCTGAGGTGACTCTCCCACTTTTCAAATTCCTGCTTTTGAGCTCTCCATGGGCATCTGGTGGTGGTTGTTGTTGTTAAATTTCTAAACTGCCCTTCATCCTAGGATCACAGGGCTATTGACAATATAAAAGCACAAAAATATATAACCTAGTAACAGACAAGAGCAATACCCCACGCCCAGTTTAAAAGGCCATAGGCATAGATTATTTAATTAACCAAAGGCCTGGGAGAAGAGGAATGTTTTTGCCTGGTGCCTAAAGAGATGCAACGAAAGTGCCAAGCGAGCTTCCCTGGGGGGCAACATTCCACTGCAGAAAATCCCCGTTCTGGTGTTGCCAACCTCCGGACGTCCTCACAGACACATCTAGGAGGAGGATAATTCAAAGGCATTTAATCAATAACTCAGGGGGAGCAGACCTGCTGCCCGCCAGGTGTTGCTGGACTTCCAACGTCTGCCAGTCCCAACCAGCATGCCAGGGGTCAGGGATGATGGGATTGCCCCCCCCCCCCGTTGGCTGCCCCTGCCGTAGCTGGTTAAACGTTGGTGCTGTTGTAAACAAAAATTGCCCTTTTCCCTTATGGGGTATCCAAGAGCCCATATAGAGTCCTTACGTAGGTTCCCTATTGGTAGGAGAGAATAACAGAGGCTAACCAGAGAATATTGAGAAGCAAAGCAGCTAGTAAGCTTGATCTTTATTGATCTGTTGCAACAGGGTGCTCCCCTCACCCGCAGGAGAGAGGAGGAACCCAGAAAAATGGCATGCAAGGCCTTATACAGTGGTACCTCTGGTTACATACGCTTCAGGTTACATACCCTTCAGGTTACAGACTCCGCCAATCCAGAAATAGTGCTTCAGGTTAAGAACTTTGCTTCAGGATGAGAACAGAAATCGAGCACCGGCGGCGCGGCGGCAGCAGGAGGCCCCATTAGCTAAAGTGGTGCTTCAGGTTAAGAACAGTTTCAGGTTAAGAACAGACCTCCAGAACGAATTAAGTACTTAACCTGAGGTACCACTGTAAAGACTTTTGAAATTGCCACCCTGTAGATCAGGACCTGGCAAATAGAAGGGAAAGAAATGGAGGCAGTGAGAGATTTTACTTTCTTGGGCTCCATGATCACTGCAGATGGTGACAGCAGCCACGAAATTAAAAGACGCCTGCTTCTTGGGAGAAGGGCAATGACAGGCCTAGACAGCATCTTGAGAAGTAGAGACGTCACCTTGCCGACAAAGGTCTGTATAGTTAAAGCCATGGTTTTCCCAGTAGTGATGTATGGAAGTGAGAGCTGGACCATAAAGAAGGCTGATCGCCGAAGAATTGATGCTTTTGAATTCTGGTGCTGGAGGAGACTCTTGAGAATCACATGGACTGCAAGAAGATCAAACGCATCCATTCTTAAGGAAATCAGCCCTGAGTGCTCACTGGAAGGACAGATCGTGAAGCTGAGGCTTTGGCCACCTCATGAGAAGTGAAGACTCCCTGGAGAAGACACTGATGCTGGGAAAGATGGAGGGCACAAGGAGAAGGGGGCGACAGATGGTTGGATAGTGTTTTCAAGGTTACCAGCATGAGTTTGACCAAACTGCGGGAGGTAGTGGAGGACAGAGGTGCCTGGCGTGCTCTGGTCCATGGGGTCACGAAGAGTCAGACACGACTCAACAACAACAACAACAACAACAGATCAGGACCACCCCCAGTAACAGCATACATACATCACAGAAGGGGTGTAACCTAAGACCACCCCTCAGATACATCACACCTACATCATAAAAAGGTGGCCTAAAACAAAAATTTTGAATGTTGTTTATCTCCTGTCTGGCAGGTTACTTGATTGGATTGCCTGGGGAGCCTGGCTAGTCTTTTGTAGTGATAAATACTTAGTTCATGGGCCAGGTCACAGGCTCACACCCTATTCAAGCACAGACATACCCTTAAGACAGGATTTGTGAAGGAAAAGACAATGGGGAGGCTTTTCCATTTTCCTTTGACCTTGCAGAGAAAACATTTGGTCAGTTTGGGAATCAAAATGGTTCCAGGTCGGTCTTCCTGTGCTGATCTATATACATGCTTGCTTGGTACGCTTATGAACATTACCGTATATCTAAGACCTCAAAATTCCTCTCACACTGCGGCCTTTCTGGTGAAGAGCAGGTCGCTCTTGTTCCTGGCTGCTGCTGATCCCAGGCCCCACGTGGGAAAGCTAATGAACCTGTTTGGCTGTTCAGGCTTGTGTTCCTGGCTGCTGCTCAGAACAATTTCTTCCTTGCTCTGAGGAGGCAGCAGAACTTCCGCAACCCAGTGCTTTGCCCAGTTTGTGATTTGGCTTGCCAGCCATTCCAAGGTGGAGCTGGATTTGCAAGGAGGGAGATTTTAACAATTGCTGGCCATAGAATCACAGAAGTTGTAGACTTGGAAGGGACCCCCAGGGTCATCTAGTCCAACCCCCCCTGCAATGCACAAAGCTCAGCTAAAGCATCCATGGCAGATTGCCATCCAACCTCTAGCCCAGGGGTTGGCAAAGTTTTTGTGGCTTGGGCTGGTTCATGGTCTCGCAGACGCTGCGGTGGGCTGGAGTGCACATGCATGCGCAAATGCTATTTCCGGTGCTCCTTCCAGTGCAGAGGAGGCGTGTGCAGCTTCCCACTGGCTGCAGGAGCTTCCAGCGTCACGGAAGGCGGTCCCTGCTCTGCTCTGTGCTGGTTTAGTGTGGCGCATGGGAGCTGAGCAGGCGACGGAGGTCTCTAAGCGGGTGGTGGGGGTCTATGGGCCGGTTAAACAACCCCCGTGGGCTGCTTGTGGCCCATGGGCCTTAGGTTGCCAACCCCTGCTCTATCCTAACTGTAGGGTGGGCTGTTCTCGCGCCAGAAAACAGGAGTTTGCAGGTTTGTCTCTGGCATAAGGAGAATGCACAGCAGTACAGTGGAACCTCGTGTTACGTACCATCGCCCTTGCGAACGTTGCGGGTTACGAGCTCCGCTAACCTGGAAGTAGATGCTCCTGGTTGCGCTCTTTGCCCTGGGATGTGAGCGGAAGTCATGTGGCGGCAGCGGGAGGTGCCATTAGCAAAAGCGCGCCTCGTGTTACGAGTGGTTTAGGGTTGAGAACGGACCTCCAGAATGAATTACATTCGTAACCGGATGTACCACTGTATCTAGAACAGGAAAGCGCAGTCACATTAGCACAGGGGACTGTTGTTGGACTGTGATATTTAGTTCTAACTTATTGATCAAATACACTTTTTAAACGAAGAACAGCTATTTTGTTCATTTTTTATAGTATTTATATTCCGCTGCACAGGCGGAGCTCAGAAAGCAGTTTGCATATCATTATTATAACACCAAGCAGCCAATTTTCTAAAATTTATAAAAGGATGGTCCTTCAGATGCTCCTGTTTTAAAATTTTAGGGTACACACACATAGCAGACACACACTCCACAGAAAACCTATCCTTCATCCTTCAAAATTTAGGAAATATTCCCTGAGAAAAATACACATTATTTTAGCACACGGAACAGTCCCCAAAAAGCCATCTTGGCTCTTTTAATTATTCTGAATATTTCTTCTACAGAAGGAGATATCTTGGAGAAACCTTTCCCAGCAGTTACTTACAAATCCTGTCTTAGGGGCATATTTGGGTATGAATAGGGTGGGCCTGTGACCTGGATCCAGGATAAAGTATTTACCATCTCAGTGGCCAGACTGCCCAGGTAATGCAATCGGTAAAGCATTATCAGGTACCTTGGCAGACAGGAGAGAAGCCAGAATCAACACTTCTATAGGAGACCGCCCTCCTTCTGTGAAGTATGTATGATGCTTTTTGGGTGGTCTTTGGTTAAGGGGTTGAAACATGCAGTCTGGCCAAATGTTTTTTCTGGAAATTTTGTGACAATCAATCATAATTTGATTTTGGACCCTGAATTAGCACTTTAGTCGCTTGAGAGCAACTCTAACCCTGAGCTTTTCTGACTTAGCCGCTGCCAGGTGGCAAACAGGAGATAATCATCCTTGGCGTCCCTGGTATGCCTGTGTGTGGGAGGCTGGCAGCAGGCAGCTCTCCTAGGTTTGCAAATGTGATTATAAGATGGGCTTTCAGTTTGTGTTTTTTGCAGCATGAGGACTAGAAATTTGTTTCTAATTTACAGCCAGAGCTGCGATTTACAGCCTAGTCCTGCAAATGCTTACTTGGCAGTCAGCCTTCCATAGCTTACCCCTGCCAAAGGTGGGCAAATTCTGTAGCCAGTAATAGATTCTGTGCTTGCCTGGTGGATCTTCAAGTAAACGGAAGTCCTGTTTGTGGATGGATTAGCAACTGCAGATGGGATTTCTGCATATTTGTACAAGGATTTCCTGGATTTCTCCCAGCAGTTGCCTACCTCTCAATTAAAACCCAGCTGCTCAGATTAATAAGAAAATGAACCTTGTGTAAACTCTGTCTGGAGCAACCTCTACCACGTGGTAAAACCAGAGGTGTGATCCAACTGCTCACCTTGTCCTTTGCAGGTGCTGTTGGCGGAGTGAGTGCCATGCTCTGGAGCTCTTAGCTTTCTAACATGGCCGACGGAGGTGGAAATGAAGAAGTGATTGACTTGAACAGTTTCCGGAGCCACCGAGGGAAAGGTAAGGAAAATATTCCTGGTTCTTCCAGGTGAAGCATATGAGGCTGGTGCAGGGGTCAGCAAACTTACCGCGCCTCGGGCCGGTGTCCCCAGCGCCGATCGCGCGGCGGGCCGGAGGGCGGGGGAGCTCGTGCCCATACGCATGCGCACACACTATTTCTGGCGCACTTCCGGGGCAGAGGAGCACTGGAAAAAGCTTGTGCGCATCTGCACGGGCCTCCTCCAACCTGGATGTGCACCAGAAATAATGCTTGCGCATGCACACAAGCTATTTCCGGTGCTCCTCTGACCCAGATGTGGGCAGCAGCGCAGCGCCGGTAAGAGCAGGCAGCGGGCAGCAGGGGTCGCTACGGGCCGGATAAACGAGTCCCTCGGGCCTTATCTGGCTTGTGGGTCTTAGTTTGGAGACCTCTGGGCTGGTGGAACTATTGGAGGGTGTTGTTGCAGCCTTCTTCAACCTGGTATCTTGTCGTTTTGAACAAGTCAGCTCCAGTCCCCGTTGCAGGCGTGGGGGATGAGGAGCATTGCACTGAGGTGGAGCCGTCAACAGTGGCAAGAGCTACAGGGCACAGGGTTCCCTCTCCACATCTTTCTCCTGCAGCGTGGAATGCCAGTTGCCAGTTGCAACCACTTTTATCTGAAAGGAGTCTTTTTCTCAATTGCATTCCCTTCGGCCTCTGGGCCTGAGAGATTCCCCATCCCTTCTCTAAAGTGATACTGCTTCAGGAACCAGTTGCATCTCACCTTCTCCCTCCCTTTCTTAGGAGAGGATTTAATTCAGTAGTTGCCTTATCCCTAGGCTATCTTCTGCCACCTGCAGCAGTTCTCTGTTGGCTTCCTGCCCTGGTTTGGGGCAGCGGCATCTTCACAGAACTCAAGACTGTTCCAGTGGCGAGCGGACTTAGTCAGAGCCCTTGAATTCTTCTTCCATTTTATTATAAGGCAAACTCGGGTAACATATTTCAGATTGAAGTTATAACAACTAGAAATAACTAGTTGTACCTTGGTAGTCAAATGCCTTAGTTGTCGAACAAATCGGCTCCTGAACGTCGCAAACCCAGCAGTGAGTGTTCTGGTTTGTGAACGATTTTTGGAAGCCAAACATCCGACGCAGCTTCCGCGGCTTCTGATTGGCTGCAGGAAGTTCCTGCAGCCAATCGGAAGCCGTGCCTTGGTTTTCGAACCATTTTGGGAGTCAAACGGACTCCTGGAACGGATTAAATTTGAGAACCAAGGCACGACTGTATTAGTGTTCTGTTGTGAACCTTTAGCTGATAGGTAAGTTGTCTCTCCTTTCTCTCCTTCCTTCTTTCAGATAGAATAAACCACAGAGACGAGGGGCTTATCACCATATCCGACTCCTCGGATGAAGAATTGCCTGTGATGCTGGACATTCCTGTTCGCCGGCAGTGGGAGGATGAGGAAGACGACGATGTAGTCATACTGATGGAGGTAACGCTTTGGCCCTGGCCATCCTCCAGTATAGCAAAAATTGAAATTTGTGTTAGGCTTAGTATACAACCAGTATGGTCTCCCCATCCCAGATGTATGTTTAAAACGGAATAGTTATATGTTCTTTATTATTTGAAACTTTTTAAAATCTGGCATTGATTTAGTTAGCTTGACTCTCACTGTAACAGATTCATGAATCCTCCCCCGCTGTAAGACACAAATCGAGCCCCCGTCTCATATTCTGGAGTTGTTCTCACTTGCCTTCCAAAACTTTGCCCAAGTGAGCTTTACAGGGCATGTGAGAATGGTAGGCTGCCTCCTGACAGTTCATCCTAGACTCTTTCAGCTATTTCAGGTAGCGGTTCCATTCTGCTACTACCTTGAGGAAGCACAACATCTTTTGAACAGCAAAATATGCTTTTAAATACCCCTTAACACCAGCTGCCAAATGCCTCCCTGAAAGGGAGAAAATCCACTTCTTAAAATCCTGCTTGTTAATTTTCTTTCAATGTGAGCCCACCTTAGCAGGAGCAAAACCAGGAAATGCTTACTCTAAATCCTATATAGCAGTGATGGCCACACTTGGCCCGCCAGCTTTTTGGGACTACAACTCCCATCATCCCTAGCTAACAGGACCAGTGGTCAGGGATGATGGGAATTGTAGTCTCAAAACAGCTGGAGGGCCACGTTTGGCCATCGCTGCTATATACAGTGGTACCTCGGTTTAAGAACATCCCTGTTTACGAACAATTCGGTTTACAAACTCCACAAAACCGGAAGTAATGTTCTGGTTTGTGAACTTTACCTCGGTCTAAGAACAGAAGTCGAATGGTGGAAGGGCACCGCCGGCAGGAGGCCTCATTAGGGAAAGCGTGCCTCAGCTTAAGAACAGACTTCCGGAACGGATTAAGTTTGTAAACCAAGGTACCACTGTACTTGCAACCTGAAGCAGCCTTCCAAAGAAACGGCTAGCCTAACTACGGCTTAATATCCTTTTAAAGACAGGAGCGAAGAAGCTTCTGCGCTCCAATGTGATCAGACCAGCGGCTCCCTGGCAGAGTGCGAGCAAGTCGGGGGAAGGAGGATCCAAGGGTGACGTGTTGCCAGGGCCCCACGATGGACAGAAGGCGAGGACCCCTCCTTCCCCGAGGCCGCCTGGCGCTTGGCGGAACTGCGCGAAGGCCGCTGGCGTGGCGCTGGGACGGCAGGAAAGTGAGAACGAGGTCTTGGAACTGCCAGAAACCCCGGAGCCCGTTGGGCCGAGGGGGGACGGCGATGGGGCTGTTCCGGAGCCTGGTCCCAGCGTGGCTCGGACGAGAGAGGCGAGACCCGGTGGCGAGAAGGAGGTCATCAACTTGGAGGAGGTCTTGCCTGCTGATGAGGAAGGGCAGGAGCAGAGGGAGCGAGAGCTACAACCGAGGCTAGCGCCGCCGCTCGGAGGGACTGTCCGGTGCATCCAGGAGAACATGCGGCTAGACCACCCGTATTTCCAGCCCGCTGAGAAGGACGCAGGCCCCGTGGTCAACCTCATTTCTCCCCAGCAAGGGCAGAGGGACATGGACCTGGGCCCGCTGCCCAGGGCGTACCAGGAGGAGATCCCTGGGCCTGCCTTTCCCAGGCCGGAGCCGCCGCAGGATGGGATCCCCGGCCCCGCCTCCCCCCAGCTGGCTCACCCACCGGAAGAAGAGGGAGGTGGGCAGCAGGCAACGGTCAATGAGCAGGCGGGCCCCTCTTCGCCAGCCCGAGGGCCCCCCGACCCTGGTTCCAGCGACGTTCCCAAGCAAGGCACTGCTCCTCAGCTCGACAAAGACCTCTTTGCTCTTCTCATCAGGGAAACGGTGAGTGTCGTTGTTGGGGTATCCTTCATAAGTGTGGCACTCATCAGGAAGAGGTAATGACAGCACACTCATTTCCTCCCCTTTGATCACTTTGGCTTCTCTGAATGGGATGCATATCATGTGGAAAGCTCTTTTTAAATTGGTTTTTACACATATTTTCCAGCATAAAAGGTAAAGGTAAAGGTACCCCTGCCCATAGGGGCCAGTCTTGACAGACTCTAGGGTTGTGCGCCCATCTCACTCTATAGGCCGGGGGCCAGCGCTGTCCGCAGACACTTCCGGGTCACGTGGCCAGCGTGACAAAGCTGCATCTGGCGAGCCAGAGCCGCACACGGAAACACCATTTACCTTCCCGCTAGTAAGCGGTCCCTATTTATCTACTTGCTCCCGGGGGTGCTTTCGAACTGCTAGGTTGGCAGGCGCTGGGACCGAGCAACGGGAGCTCACCCCGTCATGGGGATTCGAACCGCCGACCTTTCGATCGGCAAGTCCTAGGCGCTGAGGCTTTAACCCACAGCGCCACCCGCGTCCCATTTTCCAGCATAACAACGCCAAAAAAGAAGAAAAAGAAAAAACATGACAGATCTTTGGCTGTCACAGCCTTTGACTTCCCTCAACCCCTTCTAATGGCTTTTCTAAATCCTTTTCTGATTTTGCATTTCTTTTTACTATACTTATTGTTATAAATCAAATCTTACATCAATTAAACTTAATCCTTTTCACAATAATTTGTAAAATCTTCCTACAAAACTTCTTGTAACCCTACAAGCAATGTTAGTAAAGGTAAAGGTACCCCTGCCCGTACGGGCCAGTCTTGCCAGACTCTAGGGTTGTGCGCTCATCTCACTCAAGAGGCCGGGGGCCAGCGCTGTCCGCAGACACTTCCGGGTCACGTGGCCAGCGTGACAAGCTGCATCTGGCGAGCCAGCGCAGCACACGGAAACGCCGTTTACCTTCCCGCCAGTAAGCGGTCCCTATTTATCTACTTGCACCCGGGGGTGCTTTCGAACTGCTAGGTTGGCAGGCGCTGGGACCGAGCGACGGGAGCGCACCCCGCCGCGGGGATTTGAACCGCCGACCTTTCGATCGGCAAGTCCTAGGCGCTGAGGCTTTAACCCACAGCGCCACCCGTGTCCCTTACAAGCAATGTTAAATAGTTACAATTGTCTTTAAAATATGACATAATTTTTTTCTAGCCCTTTAGGAAAATCTGGTCCTGCTGGTTTTGAATTTTCCCTGTTAGTCTTGCCAGCTCGGCATGGTCTATCACTTTCATTTGCCCCTCTTCTTTTGTTGGCATTGCCTCCTGCTTCCATCGTTGGGCTAACAGTATTCTTGATGCAGTGGTCACATATAAAAACAATTTTTTATCATTCTTATGAATTTTTGTACCTACCGTTCCAAGTAAAAGCGCTTCCGTTTTTTTGGAAATGTATATTTCAACATTTTTAAAATCTCATTATAAACCATTTCCCAGAAATCTTTTACTTTTTTACATTCCCACCACATATGGTAAAATGTGCTCTCCTTTTCTTTACATTTCCAACATTTGTTATTTGTTTTATACATTTTGGTTATTTTTACCAGTGTTATATACCATCTGTACATCATTTTCATTATATTTTCTTTTAAAGCACTGCAGGCAGTAAAATTTATTCCTTCTTTCCATAGTCTCCCCCAAGCATCTATTGGTATATTGTGTCCTATATCTTTAGCCCAATGTATCGTAACTGATTCCACTTCTTCATCTTTCGTGCGCTGAGCTGATGGGCAACAGATGTGAGCAAATGCGCGCGACCAGGTGCACATGGAAAGCCCTTGTGGGCCACATCTTGTATAAATCTTGCCTCAATTGGGCAGTGTTCAAGCTTCCTTCCTTCAGCGAATCCTTTGAGTTTTTGCCATAAAATCCTTGTTTGCGTCCTCTGGCTTACAGAATCGTAGCCTCACACAGTGGTAGAGTGGGGTCTCCCATGGGCAGGCATACTAATTAATAAAAAAATTAAAAAGTCTGGATTAATAACTCTTGTGCGTTGCAACACATTTTGCCAGAGTGTAGGCCAGGAGTTGGGGGTCTGTGGCCCCTCCAGATGTTGTTGGAGAGCATCTCTGATCTCTGGAAGGTGTTGGGAATGAACCCAGCAACAAAGGGTGGGCACTCCTAAAGTGACTCCTTAAGAAGGATGTTTCCTTGCGACACACTTTTTTTTTACTTAAAAACATCAGTTTTGTGAAGTGAAACTGGTGCTGCTTCCTGGTTCTGGTTGATTGGTACTTTCTTCTTTTTTGGCTAATTGATGATGTAGCTGCCTAATTGGGCCTTTAATGCATTAAACTAATGGATCAATTAAAATTTGTATCTTCATGCACAACATTTATGGCATATTTTTAGGCGCCAGGCAAAAAGGTTTCTCTTCAATGAGGCATTTGCCCGATTAACGTTCTATGGCTTTTTAAATACATCTGTGGGAGGAGGGTTATAGGTTTGTTTTGCTTTTGTTTTATCATGTATTTTATGTTTTCATTTTGTTCTTTTATGTTGTGAACCACCCTGTGATCTTTGGGTGAAGGGCGGTATACAAATTTAATAAATAATAATAATAATAATAATAATAATAATAATAATAATAATAATCTATTCAGCATTTCATTGCATCTAGTCTAAAAGTTTCTGATAAATTACATTTTTACAGTAATGCTGCTTTCTTGGCAAATTCCCACAACTGAGCGTCCTTTGCTGGTGTATAGGTAACACAGTGGGAACATTTCAGTCTAAAACCGCCACTCTGTTTGCATGGAAATATTATTTCCAGCTCTTGTCACCATAGAGGTGAAGCTTTTCTTGAACTGCTTATCAACCAAAATGTGTGTGTTTTGTCTCTCCCCCCCCCCACCCCAAATCCAGGAAGCAAGGTTCCCAGATGCAACCAGAGAGTACATTGAGGATCTAATACGGAATAAAAACTGCTGTGACTTAAACATGTAAGTATGGAAGCTTTTGCGGCACACTTACAAACCAGTTAGTAGCAATGCCCAAAAACTTTTTTTGGGGGGGTGTCCTGCTCTCATTAACTGGTCACGATCTGGAGCAACCATTATGGCTCAGCCTACCCAGGCTCTATGGGTCAGCATGGCACATGGCCCCTTGCCAATCCCATCCTTATTCTGCTATCTTTTGCGAAAAGACTCGGCAGCAAAACAGGTCCTGCTTCTTGATAGCCTCCTCTGTATCCCAGGCTTATTTTGCTTCTTGGCTACCGCGGGGCCAAGTTAGACATGACAGCAGAGGAAGCCAGGATTGGCTCTTTTGTGTTTTACATCTGTGAGAATAGGTTTAAACTCGCAAGCTGTTCTCCTGATGTACACCTGGGTACTCCTTCGCCGTTTGGAAAAACTCTTGAGTACATAAAAATGCTTGCCTCCTTTTGAGTTCCTTTCCCTCTGCTGCTGCTGGATCTTTCTTGCCCCTGGTCTGACTCTTGCCCCTGTTGCATCCAGCTCTCTCTTTCTTTCATTTGCTGCTGCTGCTGTTCTGAGGGCGGGTGGGGAGGGCTATATCCGCCTGCCAAGCCCCCAGGCCAGCTTTCCCCATCCTGGTCTAGATGTTGTTGGATTCTAACTCCCACCAACCCCCTGAGCCAGCACAGCCAGGAATGGTGGCAGCTGTAGCCCAAAGCATCTGGAGGGTGTCAGGCTGGGGAAGGAAGCACGAGTGTGTTGGGAAAAGCTGTGCCAAGTCAGTTGACAGCCCTGGCCAAGCAATGGTCTCCTCTTGCTTTTGCAGACTTTGTAATTTTCTTCTGGAAAATCCAGATTATCCAAAGAAGGAAGGCAGAGTGGTTTTAAATCCAAATAGCAACCTCCTCTCCAGCCCAGATGAGACAAAGGTAAGTGGCAAGTTGTAAGGTTAATCAGAAATTATGAAGTTCCTGCAAGGAGGCTATTTGATGTACGTTAGGCAGGGCTCAAGGGACTTCAGGGAAGGGGCAGAGGTTAAAAGGTTGAACTCTTAGCACACACATTCTTGCCAGCTGCTGTGAGGCGCAACCCGTCTCTTGCCAGAAGTCCTTCCTCAAGGGAGCGGAGACCAAGGTCTAAGAAGCCTAACCCTTCCTGACAGCACCACCTGTGCAGCCAGTGCTGTACTTCCAATACTTTCCTCTCTCTTCTGAGCCACGGCTTTGAACAGGAAGGAGGGATGAAAAAACCACCTGTGCCCCAAGCCTCTTCAGCTTCCTGCCCAGAGTCTCATAGTCCCTTTCTATACAGTGGTACCTCGGGTTACATACGCCTCAGGTTACATACGCTTCAGGTTACAGACTCTGCTAACCCAGAAATAGTACCTCGGTTAAGAACTTTGCTTCAGAACAGAAATCGTGCTCCAGCGGCATGGTGGCAGCAAGAGGCCCCATTAGCTAAAGTGGTGCTTCAGGTTAAGAACAGTTTCAGGTTAAGAACGGACCTCCAGAACGAATTAAGTACGTAACCAGAGGTACCACTGTATGTTGAAGGCTTTGTGTGGCCGTATCATGTGTACCCACGTGAATCAGAAGGAAGGGACTGTGGTCAGTGGGCTTTATAAGGCTTGGCAACTTCTTTGTCACATTGTGAATCTTTGCACCTGGAAGACAGCACACCTCCCGTGACATCCTGTTACCTCCTCACACTGCTGCCTCAGTCCCCCTCAGTAGGGAGTCCCCTACCAGCCCCACACTTCTCTCCCTCCTTTGGGGAGTGGCAGGAATTGTTCTGTACACCGTCCCTTCCAAATCCGCCTCGGGAGTCTTCTAAGGTCTGCAACTGCTGCTCTTGCTCCTCTGGCCCAGAACCAGATTGCTGGCAGGGTAGGAGTTTTGGGCCTCTAACCTGGACATATATCTTCCAGTCCCTGCATTTGGGCCAGTATAATGAATCTTCCCTTCTAGCCTGTTGGAGCTTATCGGGATATATATTATGAGGATAGGTTACAGGGACAGGAGTCTTACGGCTCAAGAGCTTCTACTTCTTCCTCTCAAGTTGCCTTTTCTAGACCACAATTCCCTTTCTCTGAGATCATTTCATTGGAAGGTAGCAAGTGCAGATTATTGGCATACTCATCCACTGTCAGCCTTGGATCTGAAGGGCTTATAGGTCAAGAATAGAAAATGCCCAGTTCACTACCTTTTAACCTCACCTCTGTGGCAAGGTTGTTTTGAGAATAAATGTGGGTAGGGGAGAATCTTGAGCTTGCGGGAGGAAAAGTGGAGTGAAGCTTGAATAATAATCACAGTAAACTTCCAAGGCCAGACGAGTGTGCGCTGACTCTTTCCCCTTGTCTCCCTCCCTGTTCCCCTTTTTCTTCTTTCTTAGGTGCCTAAAGTGGACTACTTTGACTTCTCCAAACTTGAACCACTTGATCAGCGCTGCTTTATCCAAGCGGCTGATCTCCTCATGGCCGACTTCAAAATGTTGAGTAGCCAGGACATCAAGTGGGCGCTGCATGAGCTCAAGGGACACTATGCAATCACACGAAAGGTTCCTTCCCTTCGTTTCTTCTCTCTCTTTCCCCCCACCCCAAACCGCTACAACAATTTACTTGACTCAGTGTTGGAAGGGAGATGTACAGCCTGATAAGAAGTCAAGCCTGCTGAGGCACCAAGGCATTATTATTATTATTAGTAACAACCGCCACCACCACCATCATCGTTCTACCTGCATATTTGTGTATCCATCTTGACTCGCTGCCTTTTCCTTCAGGCCTTTTCGGATGCCATCAAAAAATGGCAAGAACTGTCTCCTGAAACCAGCGGGAAGCGGAAAAGGAGGAAAGAAATGAACCAGTATTCCTACATAGACTTCAAATTTGAGCAAGGTTGGTAGCTGCTGTCTGTGCTGGCTCTCAGTGGCCTACCAGGCTCCATTCAAAGTGCTTCTTGCTGCAATCACTGTGTGTCAAAAGTAAAGGTGTGTGGGAAGAAATGAGCAGCAGCACCAAGATGGCTGGGAGAGGAATCTGGTTGTGCTGATGCACACCCACTCTGGGGACAACAAGTGGGAGGGAGGGAGGGAGGAGCAGGAGACCAGGAGGCAGCTCTGTCTACTGTGTTCAGGTTGGCTCCATTTGACTACTATTTCTCCTTGCTGCTGCTGCCGCCTCTTCTTGCTCCTTCACCCAGGGAGCCTCCCGTCTTGGCAGGCCTGTCAGCCCCCTGCCCCTTTCTGCAACCCCCAGCTCCCATGAAACAGGAACACTGAGTGCCGGAAATGTGTCTCTGTTCTTTCGCAAAGGGATGGCCTTTACCCCTCCGCCTCGGCTGATGCTCAAGCCATCTCACAAAAGGGAAAACCTCACGGCAGACGTAATGAGCACACTTATGTAATTTGGTTGGGTTTATTTCATTTGCTGTAACAAAGGAACGTGGCTTTTGCCTGCCAGGCGCAATGTTGAAAAGAACTTTCAGATGACTAAATCATTTTTCTTTGTGGAGATGATCATGTTGTTGAAGGAAGGGAGGGATTCATCATTGCAGATATGATTGTTGGGGGATTTTTGTTTTCTGCGTTGTATTCCCTGCGTTGTATTAAAGAAAGATACAAACAGCAGCAGTAGAGCACCCAGAAGCTGTCATCTCAGCAAAAGCTTTACTGTGTAAAATAGTCCTTACCTGATGCTTTAGAAATAGTGCCAGGTATATGTGCTTGGAAGAGCATTCCATAGTCCGGGTGCCACAACAGAGAAGGCCCTGTCCCTGGTAGCCAGCCACTGACATTCCAGTGATGAGGGCCTCTGGTACATGATATCTGCCCACAGTCTCTGATGATTGCCTCCATTCAGAGGACAGCAGTCTTCAGGTAGGCTGTGAATTGTGCCTGGAGGCAGACTTTAAGCTGCACATGGAGGATTGGGAGGTGCTGGTGCACCCAGAATTCAGGGACAGGTCCTTTCCCTGAAAAGGTGCTTCTGAAATTCCTTGCAAGTCAGAAAAGGCAAAGTGTGCCCCATCCTCGTGAACTTCCCCTGAGTGGGTTGCAGAATTTAGCCCCCAGGAGCTTAATTCCTCTGCTTTTCACATTATTGGGTTCAGTGATCACACCAATCAACTGCCTGAAAAGAACATGGCTGGCAGCCTAGTTCATGGCTCCACTGGTGTCATGGAAACCTCTTAACTGCAGCTGTTAATCTTGAGGGTGGCTGGATTGTGACGTGGTGATGGCAAGAGTGGGATGCTGCTTCCATTGTGCCTCTCCTCCTGCTCCTCTCTGTGATCCTGTGCCTCTGGAGAGCCAGTGTGGTGTAATGGTTAAGAGCGGTAGTCTCCTAATCTGGGGAACCGGGTTCGCGTCTCCACTCCTCCACATGCAGCTGCTGGGTGACCTTGGGCCAGTCACACTTCTTGAAGTCTCTCAGCCCCACTCACCTCACAGAGTGTTTGTTGTGGGGGAGGAAGGGAAAGGAGAATGTTAGCCGCTTTGAGACTCCTTAGGGAAGTGATAAAGCGGGATATCAAATCCAAACTCCTTCTGCTCCTCTGCCTGGGGCAGCCCCATTTTCCTCAGTCACAGGGAGGGAAGGGGGTTGGGATGAGCCACAGTTGCATCCTCGTTTCCTGAAGCAAAGTTGTTGGGGTGGTTGTTGTTTTTTTAACCAAAAAATATTTTTATGGAGCTGGGGCACAGTAGTTGGAAGAGGCAGATTCCTGGGCAACTGCGAATTCTGGTAATGTCAGCAGCAGGTTGCAACCCTGTGTTGTCAGGCCATGACCATTTCCCACGCCCTGCTGGAGTTTAGTCGGAGGGGATGAGATAAGAAACCAATGAGGGTTGGTTTATAAGGGGATGGTGCATTGCAGAGGGCCCTCTTTTCGTGGATGGGCCCCTTGCTCTCCTGTTTCCTCCTCATTAAGGGCCATTTGTTTCTTTGTTCGGTTTTTCCAATGGCACTTCAGGCGACATGAAAATAGAGAAGCGCATGTTCTTCTTGGAGAACAAGAGGAGGCACTACAGGAGCTACGACCCCTGCGCTCTCCTGCCAGCCGTGCAGCTGGAGCAGGAGTTCTACGAGCAGAAGATCAAGGAAATGGCAGAGGTGAGCAGGGTGTCCCATGCAAGGGACTCGGGGCCAAGACACCAAACAGTGTTTCTCAAATTTGGACCCCCAGCTGTTTGTTAGACTACAACTCCCGTTGTCCCTGACCACTAGTCCTGCTAGCTAGGGATGATTTGAGTTGTAGTCTGACAAAAGCTGGGGAGCCAGGTTTGAGAAACAATGCTAAGACGAGTTCTTCCTTCTTGGGCACCAACCACTAATATTTGGCCTGGGGATTTGGGCATGGCGATGGCCTGGATGGGGCTCAGTCCAGACAAGACAGAGGTGCTGTGGGTGGGCTGTTCATCCACATGGGTGAATGGTATTCAGTCTGTCCGGGAGAGGGCTGCTCTCCCCGTGAAGGATTAGGTTTGAAGTATGGTAAGTGCCTTCAGGTCCAACATTTTCATTCCTAGCTGTATAGCTTCTGTAATTTAAAGCAGGCATCCCCAAACTCAGTCCTCCAGATGATTTGGGACTACAATTCTCATCATCCCTGACCACTGGTCCTGTTAGCTAGGGATGATGGGAGTTGTAGTCCCAAAACATCTGGAGGGCCAAATTTGGGGATGCCTGATTTAAAGCATCTTTTATCAGTTTCTGTTAATAACATCTGCTGCAGCCTTACTTGTATGGAAATAGTACAGCCACAGTTAACCATGCTCTGGCAATTTCTCACTTAGACTGCTGCAATGTGTTGTATGTAGGGCTGCCTTTAAAACTAACCCGGACACTGTAGTAGGTTTTTAAACAGAGCTGCAAGTTTACTGGACTGGGCTTTTGAGTTACGCCCTGGTTGTGCTTCCAACTGGACCTGGGCCCAATTTTTTTAAGTGGTGGATTTAACCTACAAAGCCCTCAATAGTTTGGGCTGCCTGAAATATCTCCACCTTTTGCATATGCCTCCCTGAACCTTAAGATCCTCTTCAGAGGCCCTGCTCCAGGTGCCCCTACCAAGATGGGTGGGTGGCTGCCATGGAGAGAGGGCCTTTTTGGTAGTGGCACCTCAGCTAAGGTACATCCTCCCCAGAGGAGATTCTTTAGGAGCTTTCCAGTGCCAGGGGAATAGCTTTCTGTTCACTCAAGCTTTTTGGAATCCAAGCTACAAAACTATTTTATGCTGCCTGTATGCAAAGAAGCTTCTCCTTGTCTTATTTTTTAAAATTATTGAGTTGCTTCTTAAATATTTTGTTGTAAGCTGCCCAGGAGGAGTTTATTGGTGGACAGCTTTATAAATCTATCAAAGAACATGTTGTGGTGGCCCCATGCTTCATCTAGCAAGCAAGCTTGCTAAATGTGCTCCGCAGGTGCCAGGAGGGTCACCTAACACAAAAGCCACCAGATGTGGACAACCCTCTTTAAATGCTCATGAGAATACACCTGGGAATTACCTTGGCTATGTCTGACACGGAGCCATCCTTAATAGTCTCATCACATTGCTTGAAAACGGAGAGTAGCCCTGAGAGTCCTCTGAAACTTTATCAGGGATTTCCCAGTGAGAAGGTTCAGTAGTGGTAGTGGTCGCATTGCATTAGAAAATGGTAAGTGGCTCATCCATTCTGGAGGTTCTGTGTTCATAGCCCTGTGTGTTTCCTTTTTCTCTTGCCAGCATGCAGATTTTCTGCTCGCCCTGCAGGTAAACGAGGAGCAGTATCAAAAAGTAAGTAGCTGTGTTACACACAGAGACACAGAGAGAAATGTCATGCCAAACTTGTACTGTTAATTTTAGCCCTATTTATTTGTTTTATTTCATAGAATTTATTCACGGCTTGATTGCAACCCCCCCCCCCAAAAAAAGCAACAACCTCAAAGCGGTTTGCAAATACAAAACAGTAAGATGAAGGAAAAATTGCAACTCTTATTTTCAAACAAACAAAAGTTAGAACACTAAAACAGAATAAAATTGCCTCAACTTTCTAAGCATCTGGGTAGGCTTGTCTAAAAAGAATGTTTTTATTAGGCTCCCAAAGGAATGTGGGGAAGGGGCCTGCTTGATCTCAATAGGCAGGGAGTTCCAAAGTGTAGGCACTGCCACTCTTAAGTGATTGACTTCTTACAAAGGCAGAATGGGGGTTACGTGGCCCCTGTAGAAGTGCCACTCCCACCGATCAAGGCAGCTGAGTGGGCACATGCTAATGGAAGCCACTTATGCAATCAGATACGCCTTTGAGGGGCTTTCCCCAGTGAGATGCTCTCCATATCTTTTAGATCACATGGAAACTTTAGTTCAACACATATGGAAGGTGCCAGGTTGAGGAAGGCTGTCTTAAGAGTGTGGGGCCCTCAGGTGGTGCAGATGCCGGTGTGAAACTGATGTTTGGCATCTGGAATACATGTCAGTCGGCTTTCTGTGTAATGATAGTGCTATGTGCTACAATTTGATTTTCAGCGGAGGAAATCTGCTGAATCTGACTGCTTGAGTTTTACACTGTGAGAACAGGATACTGGACTGTATAAGCCACTGGTCTGACCCAGCAAGCTATTCTTACGTCAGTCAGCTGTGAGGTTGTTTTGCTGCACAGAGCTCCTTGATCCGATCAAATTTCATACCTCATGTATAAAGCCAGTGTGCGGCTTTCTCCTAGAAGTATCTGGGGTGCAAAATAGTGCCTGAGCTATTGGTTTGAAGCCATTGGTATGTTTCTCATACCACCAAGCCCAAAGTGCTTTTCTGTGATGCACTTCCATGCAGGGGGCGAGTGAGCAGTGCAGCCAGGAGGTGGGCCCGCTTGCGTGGCTTCCCTCCCTTCTTCACATCAAGACCCAAGCCATTTGCCTGGCCTGCAGGGTTTTCCATGCAGGATCATATTATGGAAAAGTGGCCTTCATGTGCAGGACGCCATCATTGACAGCTTGGAAGTGGCAATTAACCTTGAGGAATTGAATTGACTTGCAGAATGGCCAGATGATCGTGTGTTGCTGTTGCTACGGGGACTTTGCGTTTGAGGAGCTGACTCAGTGCGCAGATGGACATTTGTTTTGCAAGGAGTGCCTAATCAAGTATGCTCAGGAAGCAGTCTTTGGCTCTGGCAAGGTAAGGAAAGAGATCACATGGTTGCATGAAACGGTTGAGATTTTCAGGCCTTCTGATTTTGTCATCCACTGCCGGTTTACTCTTGTCTCATCCCACTCCTGGTTTTCAGCTCTGTCCACATGGCATCGTTCATTGTGGGCTGTTTCAACTGCTGCTACTTTTTTTGGTCAAGTGTCTTGTGTTGGTGTGAGTTGGACAGTCCACCGTGATGCATGTGCAGCCTCCCATAAGAAAATGATTGCAAAATAACCGCCTGTCCCAGTTCTATATCCTAAATGTTGCAAAACAGCTCTGCATGTTGGAATGGTGCTGTATAAATGACTGACAATTAAACATTGCTGAACTTGCTGTAATCTTAGCCTTTCTCTGTCTTTCTCTGGTGTGTAGTCGGAGCTCAGCTGCATGGAAGGGAGTTGTACGTGCTCATTTCCAACCAGTGAACTGGAGAAAGTCCTTCCTGAAAACATCCTGTGTAAATACTACGAGCGGAAAGCAGAGGAGGAGGTGGCTGCTGCCTGTGCGGATGAGTTAGTCAGGTGAGTCTAGCTCCTTTGGTCTGAGCCTCGTGGGGCATTCTGAGGTTCCCAGCCCCCTTTGGCCAATTCACACCTTACTCACCAGCAGCAGATGCTAGCTTAGGATCACATGCACACACAGTCCTGGCTCCCTGCTGCAGCCCTGTGGAAAACCAGGTTGATCCCATGTCTGCCTTACGGTAAAAGGTCTGTGTGTGGTCTACTCTCCTTTGAAGTTCTGCCGGAAAGGAAACAGAAGATCAGGAGAGTGAGGGAGACTGGCAGCAGACCTTTGAGGACTATTCAGCGAGAAGCTAGTACAAAACCCTCAACTCCACTCTTCCTTGGCCCACAGGTGTCCCTTCTGCAGCTTCCCAGCTCTGCTGGACAAGGACGTGAAGCGGTTCAGCTGCCCCAACCCTCGATGCCGGAAGGTAAGAGGTGGATTCTTCATTTTGCGATTGGCTGGCGATGCAACAAGGCAGGCAATATTTGAAGAAACAAGGCTCTGTCCGCTGCTGCCTGGTTCAGCAGTGTATTGAGTGGGAAGGGGAGCTTGGGATGGAGATCCTTGCATGGGTGCGTGCCAAGCTGAGCTTTTGAGGTGGCAACAGCTGACTGAGGAAGCAAACTGTTGGAAGAGGGATTGGGGGTTCTTGGCGTGGCAGAAGTCACAATAACTCAAGGGGCAGCTTCGTGTGCAGTGTCTTCTGTCTATTTTGCAGAAATGGCCCTTCAGGTGCTCTTAACTGGTGGGTGCAGTCTGTGTGCTACGCAGTGCACCCTGGCCTATTCCCATGAGGCTAGATTTTGAGCCAGCCTGGTGCTGCTCTTGTTTTCTGGCTGAATGCTGCTTCTCTGTAGAGGCACAGAGTGCCGAGCAGGCAACATACTGGATGATGTGGTTCTGCGTGTGCAGACATGACTGATAGCTGCAGCCACTGGCATAGGAGGAGAGATTTGCTTGAAACCGAGAAAATATGAGAATTGGAATATTGGAGGGTGAGAACCACTAGGTGGTGCCATTGGTCTGTGCAAGGCCAGAGTTAATCCTATGTAAGTCTCTCTTTTCCGGTAGCTGGGATACTCTCCCTAAAAGCGAGACAGAATCCATGGGGCTCTGCTGAGCCTGACATCTTCAGAGCCTTTTGTTTAGTTGCCTGTCACATTCAGGCGTTACTCCTGCAAGCCTTCATCCAAGGAGTTCCCCTTGCAGCCCTGGAGAGAGCGCAGTGTGCAAGAGATCACCCGTTGAACTCCTAAATGTATGGGTGTCTGCTGAGGTCTCTCAGTTCCTGGAATGCCCCAGGGCTCATGATCTTGGACATACCTGTTACCACCTGAGGAACTGTAATTTCAGCAATGTGGAGTTTCACGCGCAGAGTGGGCTTGGCGGCCTTGCTAGAGATTCGTTGTGGTGACCATCTTTTTCTTTGGCTTACCTGTCTCTCGCATGGTGTCTGTGTTCTTTAATTTCTTTGGCAAAGAAGGTGAGGAAATGGCTGTGAACAATTGCAATTACTTTCTTATTTGGTGTGGAAAATTCAGTTTCTAAGAATACATTGTGTTACAGAATTTGTAACCGTGGTTTTGCTTTTACATCCAAAGCTACTGAAATGAGCGAGGATTGAAACATGATTTTTGGCACAGTTTGGACATAGCAAACTCGGATTAAACCGGGAAGTAAATGCTTCCAATATCCTCCTGCTCTGGCAGAGCGGGAGGAAGCATTGCCTTCTACCAGTTGATATTTAGGACACCTGAAAATTAAGTAGGGGGAAGAAATCCCATTCAGAATTCTCCAGAAAACCCACGTGGCTGCAGTGTAGCATGACCCATGACAAGAGGACATGCAGTTGGGGGGGGGGAGGTAGTGGGCAGCTGAAAAGCCCTGATGCAGCAGTGCAAGCCAAGCAAGTCTTTGCAGAAGAAGCTCCCTTTGCAGGGGATTTCCTGGAAGAAGGTGGAGCCAGGGGCTGTCTACCACTCACTCCCCTCTTAGCAATCAGCAAAAGCAGTGTTGCGGTTACATCCTGGGTTGTCTACCTGGGGCTCATGTTGTGATGTCTGAATGGACCCCTAGATATTCAGCCGGGACTTCCATTATAATCCTGTTGGTCGCTGGAGTGGGTGGGGGGAGTGGTGGTTAAAAGCTTCATTCATCAAACAGCAACAGTCATGCACATGCTACTTAATGTCTCGTGCTGTACGTGGACGTCTTTAGACTCCAAAAGGATTGCCTCCTGCCGGCTTGCATTCTTCAAATGCATTTATTGTATTGCATCGATAATAACAGATCTAATGGCTGGTAGCTGAATATTGGAACTCCCCCTCCCCGCTCCTTGTATGCTTGCTTGTTTAATTTTGTCCCTCTCTTCTGCCAAAGAAGAATCCTGCAGCAGTTTACAGGTCCCAAAGAGAGAGAGAGAGAGAGAGAGAGAGAGGAGAGACAATCCCTGCCGTTAGGCATGTCACAAAAGGAAAACAGATTGGGAGGGAGAAGGAAAATAGAGTACAAGTTCTAATGACCAGGCGGAGTGACCTGCTGCTTGATGCTGTGCATGGCTGTTGCCAGGAGGGAGGAGCCTGGCTGCTCAGCAGAGCTGGTGGTTGCCAGCCCCACAAAAGGCAAAAATGCTGTGGCTGTGGGCAGGAGTTGCAATTGTACCAGTGGTCGCAGCCATGTCAGAACTTTCCAGGCAGGAGTGGCTCCGTCTGGCACCAGTGGCTTGCGGTGTTTTGATTTGCGACGTGTTCAAATCAAATTCCACCAAGTCCTATTGTTAATGGAGGAATCCAAGGGCTCCCTTGGGCAAAAACAAAGACACCAACCAGGACAATTTGGAGCAAAACAGCAGCCTGTAGGCTTGGAAACTGTCACCACAGGACTCCCACCCACAACAAGATGAAGCAAAATGGAAGCCCAGAACAAAAGAAGACCCCAACATTTATTAGTTACTAATCCCCCACACAACAACAATCCCCCAAACTACACCCCTAAAACTACATCACAACTACATTACAACTACATCACAAAAAGGAGGGGTTGAGGGAGGAGTTGTGGACGTAACCTGAATATCTTGTCACCTGGCTGGTTCCCCCTTTCCCCTTCCCCATGAGTACTTTCCAGGTGACAAAGGGGAGTTTGCAGTTTCCTGCTCCCAGAGGGAAGAGCTGATTATTGTCCTTTGTTCCAGACCATGCTGAATCCACTCCTATATGCAAATTCTTTTGTGATCTTGATGGTCTTCTGTCTAGGACCATCAGGGTTGGCACAGCAACTGGGCAGGGCTCCTGTGGATGTGCTGGAATGCGCAAGGGATTATGGCTGCCCTGTATCAAACCTTCCCCATTTTGTAGTCCTTCCTTCATGGAGTAAAATAAAAGTGGAACGGTGCAGATCCGATGTATGGTAGCTTCTCTATGAATTTATAACAGAAGCGTAGCGTATGTAGTGTGTGTGTGTCACGTTTGTACAAACTGAATGATGGGGGGGGGGTTCCTGCAACACTATCAGCCACGGTAGTTAAATAGAACCTTCTCTGAGGTTCTGGATAAGCCTGAGGACTGGAAAGTGGACGATGCAACACCAATTTTTTGAAATGGGATCAAGAGAGGATCCTGGAAATCGCAGGCCTGTAGGCTTAAATGCCTGTTTCAGGAAAACAGGAAGGCTCTAACATCTGGGATTTCTTAGATTAGCGAAGAGTTGGCATTATAAAACGGTGCCTGGTGTGGAGAAAGGGGATAGAGAAAAGTTTTTCTCCCTCTGCTAACACTGGAACTTGTGGACATCCTTGGAAGAGTCAGGAGAGAGAAAAGGAAGGACTTCTTCATGCAGCACATTGTTAAACTGTGGAACTCTCTCCCACAGGAGACGGGGATGGCCACCAACTTGGATGGCTTTAAAAGAGTCAAATTCACGGAAGAGGAGACAGCTATCGATGGCTAATAGCCACAGTGGCTTTTCTCTGCCTCCATGGGAGAAGGCAGTTTTGCTTCTGAGTACCAGTTGCTGGAAAGTGCAGGAAGGGCTCCTGCTTTGCGGCTTCCCCCAGGCCTCTGGTTGGCAGAATGCTAAACTAGAAGGGCCATGGGCCTGATCCAGCAGGGCTCACCTTATGCTCTTAATCTCTTAAGTCAGTTGCCTTTGTGCCTTAAGTATTTGCCGAAAAGAAAGAGCGCCTTCTGGTTGTCCACTCTTCAAAGCTGAAGTCAGAACTTGGCTTTCAAGGGAATTTCTAGATACTGTTTTTCTCCCCACCCACTTCCTTGCTTGACAGCTGCAACCCTCTTCCAACCCCCTGGTAAATTTAGAAGCCGTTTAACCTCTTAGTTCTCGTCCCCGGTTAAGCAACTTGGCTACCGCCCCCGCCATTTGCTGCCCCAGATGATTGGCTTGGACACAGGGCACACACACGCCTGCTTGTTTCTTAAGCAGACGGCGTAACTTGCTGACGGTGGCGGTTTCTTTGCCAGGATTGTCTATCCCCTTGTATATTATGGGCAGAGGCAGCTGTATGCTCTCCTTTGCAGTCTCAGCACAGGACGCTGCAGCGATTCCAGTGAGCTGGATGGTCAGGAGGTGAAAGATCCTGTTGCCATGGTAACAACCCATCCTTGAAGTAGTGCACAGCATCCCTTTGGGTGCACGGGGAACAGAGGCAGGTCAGAAGGGTGAGAGGCTTGGCTGCCTGCTTCTGCCAGCTCCCTTTTAGGCAGCCGAGCACAATGAGCTCTCCTTTCCTGTTGGCCCCTTAACCAGAACAGAGATCCTCAGAGATTAATACTTTCCCTGTTTCCGTCTCTGAAATCTTGATGCTATTTCCACCTACCTGCACAATCTCTCTCCCACTCTCAATCCTACCTCCTTGCATTCCCTCTATATGAACCAAAAAAAAAAAAAAATGGGCGGGGGATAGACATTCTACATACAATCACCTAGGTGGGTGGTAGATGCTTCCTAAGAGATGGAGAAACGCTTCCCTGCTCCTCCACAGAGTCATCATGCCAGCCTCTAAGCTGCACGTCTTCTCAGGATGCGAGTGTTGGAAGGGACCTCTAGCCCAATCCCTTGTCATTGCAAGAAATCGGCTGCGCTAGGCACCCCGGCGGGTGACCACCCAGCTTCTGTTGAGAAACCTCTGGACGAAAGGTCCTTCCACCCCCTGCTTCTTAGGCACGCCTTCCCAAGGCTGATTAGCTCATGCCATCGGGAAGCTCTTCCTAAAGTTTCTCAAAACCCCGTTATTGCCATTTGAACCAGTTGTTTCGGGCCCTTCCCGTCCATTCGGAGCAACAAGGAGCGAGTGCCATGTTTGTGCCTCTTCTGCTCCCTCTTCTTTCTGATGCTTGTGGTGCTGCAGTTGTGTCCTGCCAGGAAGGGAGTCTGAATGTCCTCCTTGCTTAGAATAGAGGCAGGCTGGACACTTGT